ACAGTCCCTGCACACTCCTGATCCATTTCCACGGGCCCTACACACTCCTGATCCCTTCCTCCAGTCCCTGCACACCCCTGATCCATTCCCACAGTCCCTGCACACCCCTGATCCATTCCCACAGTCCCTGCACACCCCTGATCCATTCCCACAGTCCCTGCACACCCCTGATCCATTCCCACAGTCCCTGCACACCCCTGATCCATTCCCACAGTCCCTGCACACCCCTGATCCATTCCCACAGTCCCTGCATACCCCTGATCCTTTCCCACAATCCCTGCACACTCCTGATCCATTCCCTACAGTCCCTGCACACTCCTGATCCATTCCCACAGACCCTGCACACTCCTGACCCATTCCCCATGGGCCCTGCACACTCCTGACCCATTTTTTAGGAAAGGCTGAAAATTGTAAAGGACAGAGATACTGGTGAGAGCTTTACTTGGGAAGAGCTGAAGCTACTTACTGGAGTGTTGATGTGTATGTTGTTGCTTTCCCATTTTCCTGTGCAGAAGTGAGCAGCGTCGAGCTGGTGAAAAAAATGGCAGGTGCTTGGAGGGAGTTACCAGCAACACAGAAGCAGGTAAGGTTGTGACTTTTCCCTGAGTGCTTTGAGCTCAGGGAAGTCTTGGTGGTGGTTTCGTGTGGTTTAGTGTCTACTGTGGGTTTTTCCTTTGAGGTGGTGGTCGTTTGGGTTTGATTTTAAAGATCAGTTTAAAAATCACATGTGTACAAAGGTTCAGCCCTGAAAACAATTGGGACAGTTGGGAGCTTTGAATGACTCGGGCAGTGTGGTGTGTTGGCCTGGGTGCCCCCCAAATCCACTCTGACCTTGCCCTCCTGGGGCTGGATGGGGAGGGAAAGGACACTGAAAGGCTTGTGGGTCGGGAAAAGGGCAAGGAGAGATCCCTCACCACTTGCTGTCAAGGCAAAACAGACTCCACCTGAGGAAGTTAATTATTACCAATCAAGTCAGAGCAATAGAATGAGAAATAAAAGCTTAAAATACCTGTTCTGGTGGGAGGTGTCCCTGCCCAGGGCAGGGAGTTGGGACTAGATGATCTCTAAGGTCCATTCCAGCCCTTACCATTCTGTGATTCTGTGAATTTTGATGGAAGAACCAACTTTTATCTTGCTATATGTAAATTTCTTTAAGATCCATCAAGTTAACTTTGAGCCATAGGTAGTAAAGTTTCAAGGGATAATGTAAAGCTGCTCCAGGACTTGCTAAACACTGCTGAGTTCAAGTGCCATTTATAGCAAAGTCAGGATTGTTCTTCCTTGATTGCAGTTAGGAACTAATTGCATTTTTCTAGCTGAAGTAATATCTTTGTTCAGTAGAACTAAGGTGCTCTCATATACCCTATCATAGCATCATAGAATTTTAGGGGTTGGACTGGAGCTTAGAGATCATCCAGTCCCAATCCCCTGCCCTGGACAGAGACACCTCCCACCAGAACAGGTTGCTCAAGGCTTTAGCCAACCTGGCTTTGAACACTGCCAGGGTTGGGGCAGCCACAGCCTCCCTGAGCAACCTGTGCCAGTGTCTCATCACCCTCACAGCAAAAACTTTCTAACCTAAACTTCGCTCTTTCAATTTATCCCCATTGCCTGTTGTCCTGTCACTGCAGTTCCTAACAAGTCCTTCTGAACTTCTCCCTCCATGTGGCTTTCCCTGAGTGTGTCTGACATGAGGAAGGTAATCAGACAGATCCAAATCTGATGTCCCAGGGCAGGCTGTGATGTTTTTCCTAGTACATCAGAAGTGTTAGCACCAGGGGCTTCTGACTGGAGGTGTCTGTTGAAGGCTGGTGATGCTCTGTGCCACAGGTCTATGAGGAGGCCAGGAAGACAGACTGGCAAAAGTATGAGGAGCAGTTGGCTGCATACAAAGCTCAGCTGACTCCAGCCCAGATTGCAGCTCTGAAAGAGGAGAGGAGGAAACAAATGGCAAGAAAGATCTCCTACAAGGCAAAAAGAGTAAGTGTTTGGAAGTTGAACTTTCTTTGCTCTCAAGGAACCTGAATTCTGTTTGTCTGGTTTGCAGAGCAGAGTTGAGGTATGTCTTAGACGCACAGAACCAACTCAGAATAAAAGAAAACACCCAGCAAACACAAACCCAGCAATTATTTCAGTCCGTGGCATTTTTTTTTGGAGTTAGCAGTTATTTTAGTGGCTTTCCTGTGCTTGAAGGGCACAGAACAGGCACAGATCTTTGTGCTCAAAGGTAGCTTCTCTGTGCTTTTTTTCCTCACTATTCTCAGGCCTGCTAGGGAAAGGATAGGGAAGAAAAGGCATTTGGACCAGCAGTGCATCCTTTGGATAGAAAGACGTCCAGAAACAGCTTTTCGGTGTCACCTCCATGGCCCCTGCAAGGCAGCAGCTGTTGAAAATAGATTATTTTCCTTCCTTTCCTTGAGCTGTGACACTCTGCTGTCTGTAACTGCTGCACTGGGGAATTAGGGCATATACTCACCTCTTTTTAAAGAAAACCCAAATAAAGAGAGCCCCAAACCCTCTGGTAGTGTCCTGTGGTTTATATATCAATCCTGAGAGACAGAACCATCTGTAAAGGGACAGTACTATGGTTTGTCTGGTAGCAAAATGGATCAAAGGGGTTGGTTACTGCTTGCTCCTTTCTCAGAATTAAACTGCTGCTGTGACATTGCCCTAACTGGCAAAAAAAAAAAGTGAACTTTATTTGGTTTAAAAGAGTAAGTTTTTGACCCAAATGATGCATTTTTAGGGTATGGTGCCACAAGGAGCTTAGCTGCATAACCAACACCTTAGCAGATATTAATTGGCAGCGTTCAGGCTCCGAGTGGGAGTGTCAGGACTGGGGAAAACAAGGAGTGTAATTGCATCCATAACTTGCTGCTCTTGCCTCCTCTCACCATCATCCCTGTAGGCAGTGTTCTGCTAGCAGGAGCCCAGTTATGTTCCCTGGGTATTGGTTCTGTCCCACCTCCTCACCCCCCACAGTTAGGTGTGTGCAAGCAGAGCACAAACCAGAGCCTTGTGAAGAGAGCAGAAAACCTCTCATGGCTTTCGTACTCAGTGGACTTTAGTCCAGTCTTTGCTTTCTGGAAGCCTTAGCTGGACTAAGAATCAGCTTCAAATGCTTTTCTGTGTCTGAAAATTCAGGTTGTTATCTGGTCTTAGTTTAGTTCAGCATTAGTCTGGACAGGCCCTGAGAGCATCTTGACACACAGTCAATAACTCGCCAAGGACCGAATTGTGTTTGGGTTTTGTGTAAAGACAAGTGGGAAGTTTAGCTTTGGAAAAGAAATGTGTGTTTGGTGGGCGCAATAACCTTTCTTCTTGTTTTTAAAGGAACTGACTGTGCTTGGAAAACCTAAAAGGCCTCGAAGTAGCTTCAACATTTTCCTGGCAGAGAACTTCCAGGACACTGAGGGGATTTCACCTGCGGTAAGCCAGGAGGGACTGTGCTTTAAACACATCCTTGTAGCCGGAAAATCCTGGCTCAGGTCCTGTCCTTTGCAAAGAAACTACTCAGCAATTCAGTATCTGCACGTTGGGTTGCTTAAGGTGTTGTTTTCAGGCTGTACTGGTGCTGCCATGGGCTCTGTAAACAGTGGGTGGGTGTGCAGACCTCAAATGGTTATCGCATGCGAGTGTTACAGAACCTCAGCTCTTGCTTCTGTGAGGAGAGAATTGTTCAGCTCTTTGTTTTGGTGTGGAAATACATCAAAGCCCACCACATAGCAGTGTGTTGCTGGTATGAGAGACACCCTGTGTAGCGGAAGGAGGGAGTTCTCTGCTCCTCGTTTTGGCATAGAAACACACCAAAATACACCATGTAGCAGTGTATTTCTAACACAAGAAGCGCACTATGTAGTAGTAGTGTGGTTGTCTGTTCCTGTGACTGCAGGAGCAGTTTCTGTACCTCCCGTAGCTCAGCTGGTGGTGTGGAACATGCAAGAGATCCTCAGCAGACTCTGTTCTGCACTAAACTTCCCTCTGGGGTGACGTAAGTTCCACTGGGGGATTACAGTACTGGTGTCCTCCCTTTTGTGCCCAATATGTTCCTCACCCTTCACTTTTAGGCAGTAAATCAGGATGGCGATTGCAGTTTGTTCCTCAGTTTTCCATGGCTACTCCAGTCACTGAGGCCTGGGCTGTAAATGCAGCTCAGGTCATCACCCAGCAGCTTGTTTTGAACCATAGAGTGTATTGCTTACCTGCATTAAAAGGGTTGAGGATTGAGCCTGGGTAACTTTGTGCTCTTTTGCTTTGGTTTTTGCACTCGTCTGTATCCCTGAGGTCAGTCTGCTCTGAAAACAGCCCTAATGTGTTGCCTGTTCTCTAACCCTTAGGCAAAGATGAAGAAACTGCATGACATGTGGCAGAAGCTGTCCACTCCCCAAAAGCAGGTATGGCAATGCTTCTGGCTGGGGCTCTGATCCCACCAGAAAATTACTAATTTGAGTTATAGAATCACAGAATCATCAGGGCTGGAGGAGACCTCTAAAATCATTAAGTCCAACCATTAGTCTGTCACTGCTGTAACCCCTAAACCATATCCTCCAGTGCCAGATCCAGACAACTCTTGAACACCTCCAGGGATGGTGACTCTACCACCTTCCTGGGAAATATTCCAGTGCCTCAACACCCTCACAGGGAAAACATTTCCCCTAACATCTCCTCTGACTCTGCCCTGTCTCAGCTCACAACCATTCCCTGTAGTCCTCTCCCTGCAGCCATGGCAGGGGAGTGCTGAGGTTAGTGCTGAATTCAGTGCTGAATTCTGACTGAATTTGATACTGAATTTGTACCAATTCAGTGCTAAGTCTTTGTACTTTTCTGCAAGTTTGGGGTTTATTTTGAATCAGCTGGAGGTGAAATGGTTGGTTTTATTGATTGCACTTGATGATCTTATAGAGGTCTCCTCCAACCTTGGTGGGTCTGTGATTAATGATTCCATGAAAGCCAATGCACAGGTGTTGGCAGTGGGCCTGGGGGACATGGGCATGTGGACCCCAAAATGGTGTTGTTCTGAGTCCCCTCTGACACAGCCCCTCGTGTGAACTGGTCTTACTTTCCTTCCAGCCATACCTGCAGCTTGCTGAGGATGACAGGATTCGCTATGAGAATGAAATGAAGAGCTGGGAGGCCAGGATGGTTCAGCTGGGCCGTGAAGACCTGGTACGTTTCAAAAAGCAATGGATACAAACGAAACCTGCTGAGACAGCCAAAGCTTCTTCAGGGAGAAGCAAGGGCAAGTTGAAAAAATCAGAAGAATAAAATGGCTAAGTGTTTTATATTTAACCCCTCCTTGGTTGTCATGTCTCTCTCCTGCTGTGCTAGTGCTGTATTCAGAGTTAGCACTGAGATGGAGCCCATTGGATCAGGTAAGAGAGGAGTCAGTGTCTCTGGGAACTGACTGACAGAATCACTGCAGGCATGGCCTGACCTGTGTGACAGCAACCACTTAATCAAGCTGTGAATCCTAGCTCTCACTGCCAGCAGCAGAGCTCTCCAGCCATGGCAGATAACAGCTTTTATAAGGTATTTTTTTATGGAAGAAACAATCTCCAAAGTTCCCGTCCAGATCCTGTAGATAAGCTGCCACCTGAGTTAGTGCTGCTGAGTTTGATTCCCTCCATGGTAGTAGTGGTAGTGAAATGTTCTGCATTTCAACAACAGGCACAGGAAATGGGACATGATAACTCTGGTTTCCTGCATCTTTTTGTACCTGTTCATCTGTGTATGCCACTGGGATTGCATTCAATAAAAGACCACATGAGTTTTGTACAAACATTCCTTGGCCAGACTCTTATTCCATGGGTCTGGGTATATACAAACACTTCTGCTGTGTTTGGGATGGCCTGGAAGGAAAGGAAAACGTGTGAACTGTTAGGACTTCGAGGTTTCATGTAACAAATACAGGTATGTTGAAGAGGTGGTTAGTTTTCTCCCTCAGTGAGAGTCTCCTTGGTGTTTTGGGGAGTCCTTTGAGAAGGTGGACAAGTTTTTTCAGTAGCTGGTGGTTTTCTTCTGTCATGAATGAGCCACAGAAGAGTCATGGAATCCCAGAGAGGGTTGGGTTGGAAGGGACCTTCAAAGGGCACTGGCACAGAAAGGGTTTCCTCAGCTTCTGTGCGTCTGTCTGTCAGTGCCCCAAGACTGCAAAGCCAGAGGGGAGGGGATTGCAGCCCAACTCTGAGCCCCAGGGCAGGGATCAGCCTGGTGGGACCTTTGACCTCTGATGTGCCTTTTGACAACTTGAGTGATCTTTGACCCTTGATGTGGACTTATTACTTTGACCTTTCTAGTGACCCATGAAGTCAGAGGTCACAGGAAAGGTAGAGAAGGTAACCCAAAAAGTGGAAGTTCACAAGTCACAGTCAAAGGTCACACCACAGCCTGGAGAAGAGAAGGTTGTGTGGAGACCTCAGAGCACCTGCCAGGAGCTGAAGGGGCTCCAGGGAAGCTGCAGAGGGACTCTGTGTTAGGAACTGCAGTGACAGGACAAGGAGGAATGGGGAGAAATTGAAAGAAGGGAAATTTAGGTTAGATATCAGGAAGAAGTTTTTGCTGTGAGGGTGGTGAGACACTGGCACAGGTTGCCCAGGGAGGCTGTGGCTGCCCCAACCCTGGCAGTGTTCAGAGCCAGGTTGGCTAAAGCCTTGAGCAACCTGTTCTGGTGGGAGGTGTCCCTGCCCAGGGCAGGGGTTGGCACTGGATGATCTCTAAGCTCCATTCCAATCCCTAAATATTCTGTAAATTTATGGTCTCTTCCAGCCTTGATGTTTCTATGACTGTAACCTTTCTTTTGCCACCTACAACCTGCCCTACCCACACGTAGACGATTGGCGTTCCTCCCTTGCTATGCAGGATCACGTTAAGTCTCGCCGAGCCAGGCTCCAAGGGAATCCCTCCACTCCCTGCTCCCACTAACACTGCCGGGACACAAAGCTCTCCTTGGCTTTTCCCGTCCCTCTGTCGCCGCTCAACATCTCCTCTAGGTGTCGATGTGTCCTTGCAAAAGAACTGAGTGTGCTATGGCTCTCTAAACAACCCAGAGTGCAGAGCCAAAGGTGACAATATGTTGTTCCTGCTCTCAGGACAGAAGGGTTTCCCTTCCATTTGCAAAGTTATTTGCACCACACTTAAGCAGCAACACAAACTCCTTCCCAGTTATATCTACTGTTAAATTCTTTCACAGAGTGCAGCTACGAAATTGAGATCATCCAGCAAAATTAGAGCTCATAGCAGTGCCAGGTGGGAAAGCTGCTGCTGAATCCACCTCCAACTGCAGCATCCCCCCGCTGGTTTCTGCACTGTCCTGCTCAGCTCTGTGTGCCACCATAATCCTTCAGTCTCAGTCAGGAGCCGAAACTGAGCCCCACCACTGCCTGCTCAGACACTAAAGACACCAGGACTAAAAACTCAACAGCTTGGCTTTTCTATTCCCACTGGATTGGTGCAACAGCTCTAACTGATGGCATTGTGTGTTAGGAAAAGCAATGAAATTCACCATGACCCACTCTAAACTACCCAACGTGTGGATCCAAAATTGCTTTCCTTGCTGAAGAGAGGAGCTAAGGCCCCATCCCAATAGAGATGTGGTCCCAGTCTCCAAAACAGAATACATTCAGGGATTGCTCGCACACAAAAGATGCCTGAGCACTGTTCCTGGGCATTACCTCCCCGAGGCAGTAAATCCACTGTGTTGGAGGGAGTGGGACCAGCTCCAAAGCAGCTGGACCTCATGGCACTACCTGTAGGATCATCCCCATCAGCAGTGGAGACATCCTCATGCTGATAGAGAGCTTTGGTGAGTCTAAACTGCTTTAGAGGTTCCTAAGTCTAAGCAGGCAACACTTTCAGTGCTTAGGAGTGTAAGAGAGGTCAGAACAAACCCTACAGCAGCCAATTTTGGCTTCAGCTCATTGTCTCCTGGCCAAAGCACATTCCCCAAGCTTATCCATTCTCCCTTTCACAGTATGTTCAGGACTTGGAATGGACCTTAGAGATTATCCAGTCCCAACCCTCGAACCATACAAAATGCCTGGATGCATTTGGAAGCATTTATTGGGAAAGAAACACTAGTGACATCACTTGCACCCAAACCAGCATTTATGGCAATCATTCCCAGATCCTGGGTGGATGTTTTGCTCAGACAGGCACAGCAGCAGCCCCAGGGGCACAGCACCTACCTGGGATGAGGCAGCATCACCCTGAGGAAGAGCCAAGCAGCACGTGCGAAGCAAAAGAGCTCTGGCACAAGACTGGGAAAAGCTTCTGGAGGGTGAAAATCAGCAATGCAGGATTGGGAGATCCAAGTTAATTCACATGGGTGGTTTGGGGGCATAAAAATGGTCAGAAGATTAACAAGGTGGGGTACTCTGTGCCCACCCCTGCCTACACACCAGCCACCAGCAAGAAGAGCCAAGCAGCACGTGCGAAGCAAAAGAGCTCTGGCACAAGACTGGGAAAAGCTTCTGGAGGGTGAAAATCAGCAATGCAGGATTGGGAGATCCAAGTTAATTCACATGGGTGGTTTGGGGGCATAAAAATGGTCAGAAGATTAACAAGGTGGGGTACTCTGTGCCCACCCCTGCCTACACACCAGCCACCAGCAAGAGTAACCACTAAAGATGCTCCTTGCTGAAAACCATCTGCAGTCAAGTTGGGGAATCCCTGTCTGCTCCCAAACCTTGCTAGAGGTGTGCTTCTTTCATTGTCATGCAATCATAGACTATCCCGAGCTGGACCCACAAGGACCAGGTCCAACTTGGTCTAACTTGAGGCCCTGCAAAAGACAGCCCCAAAAATCCCACTATGTGCCTGAGCCTTGTCCAAATTCTTCTTGAGTCTGTCAGGCTTGGGGCCATGACCACTGCCCTGAGGATGCAGAAGGAAATCATAAATCCTCCCAGCAAATATGTGAGGCCAATATCAGTTGAACTGGATGGGAAAAGTTGCCGAAACAGGCACTTGGCTTTGGGGTTGGAGCACTCTGAGCCGCTGGGACCAGGAAGGGGATGAGCCAATGGGCAATGCACTGAGCTCTCTCCTGAATAAAAGCACAGGGGGAAAGTTAATGAGGGTTTATTGCTCTTTCCAGAGTACAAAAGAGCAGAGGGATTGTTGCCCTTGCTTGGCTCCTCAAAGCCTTCTTATCCCTGTTTTAAGGGTCTTCAAACCATCCCCACATGGCAGGGCTAAAGGCTAAATTGAGCCAAGATCTCAGCAATACCAAAGTCCACACTCCTGGCAAAGGTCTTGGTTTGCTGGGGTCTCAGCCAGACCTTTCTCTGCCTTAAACTGTGCTTTTCCAGCCTTTTCTGGTGGAGACTCCTCTTTCCAGTTTCAGCCTCTTAAGCACCTTCCCTGGCACGTTAAGATTTGCCTCTGCACACACAAACCAGGTTCCTGCCTGTCCTACAGACACCTCCAATCTTCAATGGAAGACTGAGATTCTTCCATAGAAGATGGTTTTACTGACACAAGGTGGGAAGAGCCATGAGCTCTGTTTGGATTGAGGCAGCACAACACCAGACTTCAGCTGTCACAGACTTGTCTTATGTGCTCCACTCTCTACTGGGCACCAAGCAAACTTCCACATTCTCCCAAAGCGGATGCAACAATGCACCAGTGCCCACGGGCAAGGGGATGACCTGCATGGTGGTTCAACCTCCCATTGGGAACAGGACTGTCTCTGGAAGTTGCCCAAGGTTTAGCCTCCAACCGGAAACAGAACTGCCCTTGGAAGATGCCTAAGGCTCAGTCTCCATTTGGGAACAGGACTGAGCCTGGAAGTTGCCAAGGTTCAGCCTCCAACTGGGAACAGAACCACCCCCTGGAAGTTGCCCCAGGATCTGTGTGGTATTCAAAGACTCCAGAGAGGACCACCAGCACCACTATTGCTTCTCCAGAGAGCAGAGCCGAAGAATCAGTGCAGATGTGCACCCAAGAGATTTGGGGACAAAGTGAAGGGGGAAAGTTGGGCTTCTCATTCATTAGTGCAGCACTAAACAATGAGCTCTGCGTACTGATCCCCTCAGCAGCACCAGCACAAGCCACCACCCACCTAAAACAGCTGCTGCTAGTGAGCAGATACTCCCAGGGAAGGAGCAGAACAAGGCAGGTCTGGATTAAGCCTGAGGCACAAGAGCTGTGCCCATATCCACTCCCTGGGTCCCCTCTCCTCCAGCCCCACCAGCACCCAGCACAGCCCAGACCCACGTCCCAAGCCAACATGCTGTACCC